ATGTATTTGTGTACACTGCAGTAGCAGCTGTTCATGGTGCTCTAAGTCAAAGGTCTAGTCCATCATACACAAGCTGCCAAAAATTACGTACTATAAAACTGTTTGCATGCTCATTCAAACAGAAGTACTCTTAGAGTGGCTCTAGCTTCTGCACTTGATTTGATAATTACCATGCCTTTTCATTACACTTTTGAAATACCTATGTACTGGAGCTTGCAAATGGCCACAGAAGCACTGCTGGAAAGTAGGCAAGCCAAGGTAACTATATTCACACACAGCCCCACAAGCCAGAATGTGCTAGTTGATAAATTGTTCAGCGAAACACAAATTGAATAAAGAAACTTAAAAGACCCCCAGCACTACATTTAGAAACTTGAGATGCTCGTGTTCTCCTGCATGTGTGGGCCCTTCTGAGAAATTAGGACTACCAAACGCTGGCATTAAGTTATTTTATTTGGTCTTAAAGTAAGGGTATGTGCTCATCTGAATTTTCAACATCTCAAAACAAAGCCACTAGTATGACACAGACCCCTTGTGACTTTTCAAAGGAAAAGAGTATTGTTGACGTCACAGAACATTCACAGGGTCCACACAAAACCAGAAATGGCATTCAGCGAGGGCTACTGATCCAGTCCTCTCTTGCTCTTTTGTCAGACTGCGCTCAAGGTGGTTTTGGCAGCTTATGTCAGGAATGCCTTTGTTTTTCCTGAGAGGACATGCTCAAAGCACCCACGTCACTTGTTTCACTACCAAGTGCGGTTCCCCCAATCTGAGAACTGCACGTTCAGTGTCATCGAAGCTTGAGCGCACATGGTGTCAGGCTTGTCTGCATACGCTTTTCTGCAGTGCACTGGGACAAAAGTGGCTAAAGCAGCATTCTGCATGGGTTAGAGCAAGGTAAAAAAATATTCAAGATGTCACCCTCTGCCTTCTCGGTTTTTTTTCTTCACGACAGGGTTAGGTTTAGGCCACAACTTCTCAGCTTACTTGCAAGACTCGTTTTACCAGATAAAGTAGCAACAGCATGTGCCCATTGATTTGGCAACAGCACCAAATATTTATCAGTGAAACAACGCAACTAACGCACTTAAAAGACAGAAAAATGTTTTATGTGCCTTAGCTATGGCGACCAGTGTGGTCGCCAGCAGCGCCAGCGTCCGCACATGTCGACTCTGTTTGCGAGCCGAAAATTTCGTATGCGCTTTCAGTTCTAGCTGCTAACATGTCAAAGCCATGTTTGTCGACTACAAGAAGTTATTATTTTCGCAAAGCGTTCGTGGCTACGACAACGCATTTGTCTAGAAGTTGCGTCGTCCCATCGAGAGGCATCTGCTGCGGTCAGCGAACCGACGGGCGAGCGGCTTCGTTACTTTAGCTAGTCAACCACGTGTCGCGAGTGCTTTGAACTATTAGGAGTATATCTCACACCACGGTTTAGGGTCAGCACGCTTGAATTGATTGACGATGCAAACTAAACATTACCAACGTGGCCTCTATTTCTTGCTAAATTTAGCACACCTGAGAAAACTTTGGGGCTGGCCGGGCATTTTGGTGCAAAGTGGTGCAACGTCAGTGAATTTCATGGTTTTGTCACAGCTGAGTGCATAAATAGGGATTTGTATCGAATTGGCGCAGCTCTTACACCCCTGAAAGAACAATAAAAATTTAAGACAAAGCATGCAAGTGTGCCCTTCTTTTTGCAAGAGCAACACTTGAAAAAGAAATGGCACCTCACACGAATGACTACATTATGAGTACTGCTTGAAACATCCCCAGCCTGCCTGCCTGAAGTTGCAAATGCATTCAGGTCGGCAATGGATGTCACAGAATTAGACACACAACTTCAGTTCTTCACAGTGCCATCACTGTGAATGTGTCAAGGTCGGAGTATGTGGGGTTTATAGTCCAAAAACAACCATATGGTTCTGAGAGACGCCGTAGTAGAGGGCTTCGGAAATTTCGACCACCTGAGCTCAATCTGAGCACACGGGCCAACAGCATTTTCGCCTCCGTCAAAAATGCAGCCGCCGAAGCCGGGATTCGATCCCGCGACCTGCGGGCCAGCAGCCGAGTGCCTTAGCCACTAGACCACTGCAGTGGAATTAAATGTGCAGAGGAGTAATACACAAAGCAAAAAAGAAAAGTAGGGGCTGATCACGTGACACGCTCCCTCCTTGTTTTTCCCTAAAGAATGCAAGGGAGCTTCGCCACATGCAGATGCTCACCAAAGCAAAGCTGAAGAGTTTTGGCTCTGGTATTGAAACGAGTCTCTTGGACGCACGTTTGCAGGACAGTTTAGTCGCTTCCCCAAGATTTCTAACTGAATAGGCATGACAAACTTTTTCTGCAAAAACTCTTCAGAATGCAGCTTAACAGGTTTTAGCGACTAGCCATAATTTATTACGAGAACAGGTGAGGGACCTTCTAATATAGCATGGGAACTTATTAGTGACACTTACCAAAACAGGCAAGTATTAAAGGTTTTTTTTTTTCTGGAAATGTTTAAAAGGGACCAAGACTGCAGGCTTCCCGAGAACAATTTCAGACGCCTGCTAGAGTAATAGTAGGTTTCAATGGCTCTAAGAAAAGGCAAAGTAACTGCGCCAGCAAATCAATTCATGTTATCGAATGAGAAACCTGTTTCGTGGATGCGATTCAAGTGGCCTCTTTCGAGGAGTGAAAAGTGGCACCCAAGGCCATAATATTCCCAAGAATTGCCTTTTAAATGTGAGGCTAGGTCCAGTTTGCTGGGTCTATCACAAGGCTGGAGCCAAAGACAGTGCCTCAAGGCAGATGTGGCGGAATGTTGAAATTCAGGCAGGTAGCAAAACCACACACTGAGAAAGTGCCGGACAATGCCCATAAACAAGCTTCTTCTGAGTCAAGAACTTCGCGATTATCAAAACAAAACTGACTAGAGGCTGACCTGTGGGCACACAAACCACCCCAGCTTTTACTACACGCAAAGCTACAATAGCCTGGTCCATACTCGAGAGCAATGTGTCCCCACTCCGTGTTTTACTTCCGAAGCATAACAAAAGGTATAACAGAAAACGACAAGATTGCTTATGTAAGAGTGAATACACCTGAATCCAGATGTTTACTTCATTCAACTGCTCGTCTTAGGCTTGTAATCCTCACATTACAGGACTAGTACAGACAGTGCAAACTCACATGTGAATAAGGGTAAGCCTCCTCGCAAGTGGATGTCGACTCTAACAATTAGCAGTCAGCCTTTTCTAAAATGAGCAGACATGCTTATTTTTTGTTTTGTTTGATCTAGGCCAAACAACTGTGTGTATTTGAATCGTTAACACGAAATCTCCAAATGCATACAGATTGGTTCAAGTGCAGACAGTGTGCATTCTCGTAATGAATACCTATTCTTGAAAACAAGGGAATACAATTGGTGCATCTCGTGAATGTGCAACATTATACTTGAAAAACAGCAAGAAAGCACGAGTCAGACAATGAGTGATGTTCGGAAAACTCCAATAAAGTCGCGTCACCTAACTTGTGTGCCGCTCCTCATAATCTCCTTAATTGGGGTCCTCTGAAGTAAAATAACACACAACCGCTCAGTGAACAAAAGGCAGTAGATGTAAAGTGACAACAGAAAGGAATGAGAGGTCAAAATTAGCATTGTTTTCAATTTGAAATTATGAGATCAAGTGGAATTCAGCAAGCACCTCTAATACGCAAAGCAAATGACCTGCAGCTCGTTAAGGGTGACAGAATGGTTGTCAAAAGACAGCTGTTGCAGTGGAGGACGGCAGAGAATCCGGTGGCGTGACGATAACGAAACTCGCAGACCTAGGGTAAATATGGCTGATGCAAGACATGGGTAACTGGAGCTCATTGGGGGAGGCCTTCAACCTGAAGTTATGAAACGCAGTGATGTTTCATGTATCTCGTCATCCGACACATTATTGTTTGATACGTCATCTAACGAGCTTGCTATTTACGGAGATTGATAAGCTCTAAGTGTCGTGCCATTAAAAAAGATCCCTACCTTTAAGCAAAGACGGGATCGGTTGCGTTGCGCGTTTTTACCAATTTGATGGCGGTTCTTTCGCAAGCTACCATTTACCTGACAAAAGAGGTTCATAGGTCGGCAAAGCTCGTACGCTGTTTCGCAACCACAGCCACATGCTCTCAGGACGCTTCAGTCGAGCATGAGGGCGGCGAAGAAATTAGGTCAAAGCTCGTCAAGGACAACCACGAGGCGTTCACCTGAAAGTTTACGGCACACGGTGCGCAACGTCTGCAGCGCCCAAAAACACGCCTCTCGACTTGTCAAAGGTCGTCCCAACATACCGTCTCGACACTTGCGTATGTCACTCGTAAGGCGACGGTCTATACGACAAACCACCGTGGAACATACATCTCCGCCCAAACACACCCGCGCCTGATGGGTTGAAACAATAGGTATGTATTAGAAAACAGCATGACGGAGAGTACCAAGATTACGTGGGAGGACACACATGCGACAAGCGGTACAGTGAAACTAAGTTACAGCGCTCATCACTAGCTGACACACGACACAGAGGCACACAATGGGCCAACGTATGGTTTGTTTCTGTTAAGCGATCGGGCGTCCCGATTTTCTCGCAATCGACTCGCGCCACTTAGTGCCACACCTCGGAAGCTGCTGCACACACGATCTCTTGTTTCCAGCAAGAGGCAACATGGGTGCAGTGACGCTCCGGAAGATGAGTGACACGTGCGTTATTTGTCCCCGTAACCCCAACGTAACCTCCAGAGTAAACTGCCGCAAAATACGGCAGTTTCTCGCGGGAATTTGGTTTATTGAGAGAATCGACGGGGCGACAAACACTCGAACGTCTTCCCGTGGTGACCGCTCGCGAAAAACGCATGCAAGCTTTGCGTGCGCGCCAACAACCTCAGCTGTATAGGGCATTCGTCCAGGTAGTATCGGGCAAGGTATTTATAGGTGCTACAGGTCATAAAATGTTCCTGTCGGCGAAGTCTGAACGCACCTTGTGCACGGAGTTTGGGTCCTTGGTCCAGGCTCGGTACATCTCCTCGACGTACACGGACGAGCTGCCGTTGAGGAACGGCTCGGCTGCGACGCGGGTCGCACAACCCCGCGCGGGCACCTTGAGCAGGTGAACGCCGAAGTGGCCGGTGCTCGCCTGACGCGCGGCACCACACCTTTCGGACAGCAGGGAACGCACAAACGGCGTCAATGACGCGGTCAGGGTCCTCGCTCGATCCATCGTCGACAAATGAATGAATGGACCACAAACCCCTAACCAGAGGACACGGATGAAAATCCGCGCACACACCTCTTGGTGCAGAGAGCACAGTGAACCGCTACTGCTGCCGCTCGGCCGACGATGTCGCTGCTACGGGTTGCGGTAGGTTGTAGTTTTTCCAGTCCACTATGAACTACCGCTAGCCATTTTGGGCTATTGTGAGTAGTTGCAACGCCGTAGGTTATTGTGAGTATAGTTTGTTTTTTTTAAAACTTCTAAGAACAACACAACAAACAAAAACAAAGTTACAAATGACGTTTCAGTTGACACATTAGTAACAATGCTTTTTTTTAATTTTCTGTTGCTAATCTTCAAGGTCATGCTTCCACACGTCAGTTTAGACTTCAAGCAACGTGTCTCAGCTATCATAATAACTATTATTGCTGATACATTGAATGTGTACGATGTCCTTAATTGCAACTTGCAATTGCGCTGTTAACACCTAAAGTTTTACTTCTTCTTTTGTGCGGTAATTGCAGTTTTCAAACAGTTCTATAGAAGTATTGTATTAAACTTTAAAAACTGTCTTTTTTGAAAAAACAATTACGCATTTTTAAGGCTATGTTTTTTTTTTTGTCCAGCAAACAGTTATGTACGTCACAGCAGCCATGCCTAATATTTTTTTTTTTTTTTTTTGACATTGAAACTGAAACAGAAACTGTTAGTGAAAACCAAATGTAGTGCTGTGGCGCCGAGCCTTTCGCCATTCACCGCTAAAAGACGACGCTGAGGCTGGGCGGTTTCTCGTGTGAGCTCCGCGTGATTGTGCGTCGTCGTCTTTTCGTGCGACGTCGCTACGAGTCCCGCTGCCTCGCGAAAGCGGTCACACTCGCGTGGTGACTGTGACGTGGTGCTAGAAGGCGCCGGCCGAGCCTTGTTTACCGTCGTCGCGTCGCCGCCGCTAGCAACTCTCTCTGCGCGCTATCAATCGTCGCGCACACAAGGCTCGACGGTACTGCAGCGCTGTTCACCACTTGGGACCGACGTCTCCGCGACCACAGTGGGCACTCAGCAGGTGATCCGAAAGATCCTCGGGAGATCATCGTGAACGTCACGACAGTAGCATCATGAGCGGTTATCATCCCCCACCGCAGCAGAAGCAGGGATATCCGCAGGTCAGTACCCCCCTTCGCTACGGCGCTTTTTAGGCGCCAGCGTGGGTTTGTAATTTTTTTTTTTTTATGGTTTAGTGCGATCGCTCCAGCATTTACTCGCGCGCCTGCATCGTGTAAACGCGTCCAAGTAGTTAAGTAAAGGCTAAACAAAAGGCGTGTGTTTCACGCGTAAATTAAAAAAAAAAAACAATAAATGTGAAGGCGATACTTCTTTCGCGCTGTCTGTATGGGTGTAAAGGAAGTTGGGCAAAAGTAACAACCACCCATATGTTCGTCAGTGATTTTGTTTGCTGTTCAGGCCTAGTAAACTGGTTTAACTGACTGTAACGCGCTGTGCAGTGTGCCCAATCACAAGGACCGCACTTTCGATCGCGATCGAGCGCCAGATCGGGATTTGAATTTCGCAATGTGCAGCTTGCACAAATAGCCAATCACGATATCGAAAATTCATGTTGGGCTCGATCTTGGAGATAGGACACGCGTCAATAAGACGTCAAATATCCGTCATATTTTATGTCGCAGGTATTGTGCAACTTGAAAATTATAATTACAATGGGTTTGAAGTTGTTCGTGGGTTGGTTGTTGGCTTGGCCTGTATAGGGAATGATGTCAGAATCTGGCAAATAAGCATTTTTTTCTTATTTTTTTTCACACTCTTGTGCGGTACAGCGCTCCCATTCTTCAACGGCATAGCATAACAGCCAACTTTGTGCGAGTCATTGGCGACATGTAACGCTTTTATCGGTGTTGTGGTGACTTATTTTTAGCTTGTCGCCATTGCCGCGCATGTTTACGCATGATAGTGTCGCTTAGCAGCCGTGAGCATAGGCGTATCAGCCGGGGGGCAAAAAAGGCGCAATCCCCCCCCCCCCTCCCGTTTTCGACAGTGGTCACTCTTGGCTACACGCTGGGGGAAACCAACAATTAAGGCGTAGTCTTCGATCACAACAGTAATCACTCAATTATATTCTTACAGGAGAATGAAGTTCTTACGAGGCTATGTTACGATAGTTATAGCGCGAGAACCGAACGACGATATAGAGACAAGAAGGACACGAAGCGCTCGTGTCCCTGTCTCTGTGTTGTCGTTCGGTTCTCGCGTTATAACTATCGTCATGTCATACCAACTAGCCCAAGCTGCCACACTTCTATGTTACAACATAGTGAAATTTTGCCTACATTCCCGCTGTAAGAACTGTGCTGAAAATAACTACATAAAAGCATCTAGCTTACAGCTGTTGAGAAAACGTCGCTGAAAAATGTGTGCTGCGCAGTAGTTCCTTTCTTTTGAGCCTCCAAACGTTTTCTCTGTATTTTACATAAGAATAATTGTTTGGGTTCAACATAGTATTTTAAATGGAATCACGAAGCCGTGTATTCGTGTTGAATGAGTAATCGAGCAGTGGCATATAATGACCAAAAAGAAAACACTACTATATTTCAACTTCGGTTTTCTCGGCAAAGTTTGCTTGCTCAAAGTGGGAGTCCCGACTTTTTAAAATCTCATTTGCGGGAAGCGTCACATTTGAGGATTCTTCCCACGAACATCGGTGGTTATGACCTGTGACACTACGCGGCCTGTCACGATGTCGACGACTCGATTCCCTGTGCGCGCGGCGTCTGTATTCTGACGCGGACCGGAAATCCGAAAGCGCCTCATTAGATTAACAATAATTAGGTGCCCGTTAGGAAACAACCAGATAGGTAAGGTTAATTCGGTGCTTCTTACTGCAAAACCCCTGCGAAAGCCCCGTAGCTTACTTGGGTTGTAAGAACCCTACGTTGAGGATATCTCCATATAAAGTGCCCATTCGTATACGTCTCTTCTTATCAAGCGATAAAGGCAGACAGGCTTGTGACATAGAACGCGTGGTGTGTAGTTTCAATCATCAGTGTCAATCCTCATATACCTGATAAAAGCGAAAGTATTTCTGTGGGTGTTCAAGGCTTAGTCAGGAGAGGGGGGGGGGGGGGGATCGCGCTACCGAAATATCCTCCACCCCCACTCCACCCAAGCCTTGTAATCAACCATACGTGATCACATATATGCATCGTACAACAAATTAGGCATGTCGTGCTACTAAAGTCGACAGCCCGCCGCCATCTAAATTCAGCTACGTTGGCCGCATTTTGGTAGGGGACAAATGCAAAAAAAAAAAAAAACACCTGTGTAGCTCGATTAACGTACATGTAAAAAAAAAGCCACGTATACTAGTAGTGAAAATGCAGTACCTCACAGTGGCGCGCGTCACAGTCATATCGTGCTTTCTGGTACGTTAAGCCCCGGTAATTCTCATTATGCATATATTATCGCCCCCATCTCGCATGCATGCAGCAACGCATGGGGAATTTCTCCCTCCCCCCCCCCTCTCTAGACAAAGGGAGTCATTGAGCATTTAAGTGGTTACATGTGGGCGCCCAGAGAGGGACGATAAATACGATCGCCTGGCGGAAATCGGCTCCAGCAGAAGTGATCGTGGCCAGCGTATCAGTTCGGTGCGCGGACGAGATAAGAAACGAGTGTGTGCCTCTTATCCGCTCCCTGCCTTTCTACAGTCGCAGAATAGAGAAACAAGAAAATGCCACAGGGGCCCTTTCTCTACAGAGGTTTTTTCTCATATATATATATATATATATATATATATATATATATATATATATATATCCTCGTTTTTCCGTGTTTTGACACAATACTAATGAAATATAACAGACAACAATGCCAAAGAATGTATAGAAGTTACTAGAAGCGATGTAATGTAAATAAGAAGAAAGAAAAGAGGGTGAAAATATAACTTTCTGTGAGCAGGACTCGAACCTACGACCTTCGAATAACGCGTTCTATGGTCTACCACTCAGCTATCACGGCGGCTATCCCCCCAGCCACTTTATTGAGTTTATATGTGAATTTTAAACGTGGGAGTGTCCGTCAGCGCCACCTGTAGCCATGGCGACGAGTGTGGCACACTCTATTATGAGCCTGTATGGCGTCACGTAGCTCGTGAACTTATTACAAGTGGGCAGCTGACCTATAGTCCCTCATATACAACCTATCGGCACCAAGTCTGCCAGTACAAGACCCTCGTTAATGAATAAGGGAAAGAAGTGAATACTGAAGGGCTCGTTTTTTTTCTTGTTTCGACACAATATTAATGAGATATAACAGACAATAATGCCAAGGAACGTATAGGGGAAGTTATTAGCACCAGTTTTATGTAAATAAGAAGAAAGAAAAGCGGGTGAAAAAAATTACTTTCCGTGAGCAGGAATCGAACGTATGACCTTCGAATAACGCGTTCCATGCTCTACCACTGAGCTATCACGGCGGCTATTCCCCCAGCCACTTTGTTGGGTTCTGATAACTTATGTACCTTTTTTATGCATATAATATCAGCACCGTTTGCTGGATGATATCGCCCTTGAACAAGAGCTCATTCACCGGTGACATCAGAGCTGCAGTTAAACAACAAGACGAAAGCAACGAAATTTGTTAAAAAATACTTTTTTATCGTGACGACAGCGAAGAAAAGTCTGCCGCGGTTGGTGTAGCGGTGACGGTACTCGGCCGCGGACACGAAGGTAGCGAGCTATAGATCTTGCAGCCGCGGCTATCGCATTTTGATGGAAGTGAGACGCTAGATGGGGTACCGTGCGATTTCTGTGCAAGTCAAAGCACACAAGACGGCCGAAATTTCCGGATACGGCGTCTCTCATAAATATATCGTGGGCTTGGGACCTAAAATCCCACATATTAGTACAAACAAGAAAAAGCACCAGTAAATAAACTGCTTTCTTTTTTTTTCTCGTGATGCTGCTGGTGGTGCCTGACGTCAGTATATATATATATATATATATATATATATATATATATATATATATATATATATATATATATAGGGGGGGGGGTTCTTTCTACCTTTCTCTTTCTTGGAAGCAGCACACAGAGGAGCAAGGAAATCCTCGACTTAAGGGAAGATTGTCTCCTTCTTTCCTTACGGTGGGCGAAAATGGCTTCGTCGTTTCTCCATCACGTCGTGATGCTCCGTAAAGCGCCCTGTGCTGTCACTCGCGATGACAAAGGCAGCCAAAGAAACAAGGTGCACTGTCTGGCTTCTCTGCTAGAAACGATTGGTCGTGACAGCCTTTTGTTCGCATGCCGCTCTTTTTGTTGCACAAACAATGACGTTGTCTGCAACGATGCATTGTTTTAGTTACAAGTAAAGCAGGTGAAACAGATCCCACAAGGGGGCCCGGATCGACAGAGTGCTAAAAGAGTTGGCAATGGCGAAGACAGAGCAATTTATGGAAATGGCATTTTCAATGTCGTAGACTATACCAGTCTGTAAACGTGCAAGCCCTGTGCGTAATGAATATTTCTTCTTCGGGAACCTGTCAGCTTCACCGGATTTTCTCTTAATCGCCTTTTGAACGTGGCCTTTGCATAGGCATGCAGGCTGGAGCCTATAAAAGCGCATTTGTAGCTTGCGTCTGGCCACCACTACAGTGCGCTTGTCAATCAGTCCGTGCTGCTTGCCTACCATTCTTTCCTTTTCACTCTCCCATCGAATGAACAGGGTTTTTTCATTTATTTGCCGCGGGAATTGAAGAGGAGGTAACGACTCGGTTCCTTTCTTTTAATGCAATAGAGAAAAGAATAAATCGATACCAGCCTTATATATACGTGTATATACGTATATATGCGTCGGTATAACGTGAAGAGAATTGAACACGCTCTGAAGAACGGAGGAAGCGTCAAAACAGGGAAGACAAAACTTGGGATAGGCAAAAACCAGATGTATGCACCAAGGGACAAGGAAGACAAAGTAACTACCAATATGGATAGAATAGTAAAACTAGCGGAGGAGTTTTACAAAGATCTGTACAGTAGCCAGCACAACCACGACCTTAATATAATAACTAGCAGTAACCCTGATGGTATCCCACCAGTAAGGATAGAAGTCAGAAAACCCTTGGAGAGCATGCAAAGAGGCAAAGTTACAGGT